GTATACTAAACTGATCTTCTGTATGTAAAGAAAATTGAAAATAAATCTGGATAAGACTGGAAGGGGAGAGAGAGCAGGAAAGGGGAGGTTTGCAGGTGGGAGGGAAGTCATTTGGGGGAGGGGAGCCAATGTAATCCATAAGCTGTACTTTGGAAATTTATATTCATTAAATAAAAGTTTAAAAAATAAATAAATAAAAATAAAAAAAGATTTATTTATTTATTTTTATTTGAAAGAGTTACAAAGAGAGGAGAGACAGAAAGAGATCTTCCATATACTTTTCACTCCCCAGATGGCCACACAGGCCAGGGCTGAGCCAGGCTGAAGCCAGGAGCCAGGAGTTTCTTCTAGTCTCCCATGTAGGTGTGGAGGCCCAAGCACTTGGGCCATCTGCTGCTTTCCCTGGTGCATTAGTAGGGAGTTGGATCAGAAGTGGAGCAGCCAGGTCTCAACACGCAGCATAGGCGGAGGCCTAACCTGCTATGCCACAACTCCGGCCCTTATGTATGTATCTCTGTTGTTGTCCAGAGGCCTTTCTCCATACCTAAATATTCCACAATAAACACATCTCCCTTCATTCAATCCCTTCCCACCGCATAGCACCAAGATTATTTTTTAGAACTGCAGATACCAGTCATTTGCCAGTTATAAAATCTTCAGTAATGTTGCACTTCTAATGAGATTAATACAAAATTCCTTGGGAAAGCACAGGTCTTATACAACTCCTTTCCACTCTTTCTTCAACCACACCCTGATCCCCTCTAGCCTCCTGTGACACAGAATTACCTTTCTTTGTAGAATAGCAGGAGGCTGGGGATCACAGAGTTCTCCCAGCCTGGAATAATTTTAACTGTCTTATCTCCCTAGCTCATTCTGAATCATTTCTGAGGCTTTGCCATAAATACCATCTCTCTGACATCTACAACAGAACTAATTTTCTCTCCTTTGTGATCCCACACTATATTCTATACAATTCCTCCCTTGTAATATAACCATTTGTTACATATCAGTACTGAGGACTGAAATATAAGTGACTTGGAGCAAAATCCTTGTTTTATTAATCATTCTGTCCCCAGTACTCACATATTAGTGGGTTCCCATAAAGTGTACTTAGATAAATTAAAATGTTATCGTAAAATAGTTAGTGATATTTTTAACTTTTTCTAGTAATATATTTCAGTTCACCATGGATGAGTCTTACAATTAAAATAAGAACTTTAAATTAGCTTTATATTTATAAGCATGGTAATTATAGTTCATTTTCATATTTTCATTAGCATACCAAGATATTTTCCTAATGAATAATTATAAAAAGTTTTTTTAACAATCTTCCTTATCAAGGGCAAAGAGATTATCTACCATTAACTAAAATATGGCTTTGGCTGATATTTAAAATTAATAGCAGGTATATTGTCATAATTAACATGCAGATATTTAAAATATATGAAATAGATATTATTTCCCAATACCAAAAAATAGATTGCATTATACATGAGTAAATTTTCTCCCTAATCATATATAACCAAATATAGCTTCAAAAATATCTATAAATTGTGCTCAATTTGTATTATTAGAAATATACAGCGATAGGCTGGCACCGTGGCTCACTAGGGTAATCCTCCACTTTGCGGCGCTGGCACACTAGATTCTAGTCCCGGTCGGGGCGCCGGATTCTGTCCTGGTTGCCCCTCTTCCAGGCCAGCTCTCTGATGTGGCCAGGGAGTGCAGTGGAAGATGGCCCAAGTGCTTGGGCCCTGCACCCCATGGGAGACCAGGAGAAGCCCCTGGCTCCTGCCACCAGATCAGCGCGGTGTGCCCGCCGCAGCGTGCCGGCCACGGTGGCCATTGGAGGGTGAACCAACAGCAAAGGAAGACCTTTCTCTCTGTCTCTCTCTCTCACTGTCCACTCTGCCTGTCAAAAAAAAATTAAAAAAAAAAAAGAAATATACAGCGATAGAACAAAGACAGCGCTGCAGGCTCAACAAGTAGTAAAGTACCCTGGCGCTTCCATGGAATGAATTCAAAGCTATCTTTAATAAACTTGTATTTCTCTTTTATAAACAAATATAGATACCATTTCAAAACACAAACTGAGCTATTTTATGCATAACTTAGATATTTGTACATTTTTCTGGAGACATAAATGAGGACTAAAGAAAACTCCTCAACTCTCCTGAGTGCATACTTAGTATATGGGGTTTTGATTACTGAGTTTGATTTTGATAAACTTTGAACCTTTTATAATATTCTATTTCTGTTAACAATATATCTGCAATCCGTAAGCAGGCACTTCAGAATTTTAACACATTCTAGAATTTTAACACACTGTAGAATTTTAATGCATTCTTCCTGTCACTAACTTAATTTTTAGAGGAATTCTGAGTATGCAGGTAACTAGATCCTTCCTCTTCCATATACAAATTTCTAATATAAATTTATCTTTTGTTGATTCTCAGTATAGTAGGTCAAACTCATTTCATTCAAATTAGATTTCTATTTCCTTCTTAGTTTTTGTGGGTTTTTTCTGTCTATGTAATGTGGGAAAATCTCCAAATAGAGGACCTCATCATTAAAACCAGGTAGAGTGGTTTACTGAGGTAATGCGTCATTTTTAATTTATGTGTCAAGACAAAATCTTGACTGATGTTGCTGAAATTGTCTCGACCAAGGCCATTGACAGCTGCAACTCGGGAGTGATAAATTTCTTGAAGATCCTGATAAAGCCAAAAGCGGTGGTTTGGTTTGCCTGGCCTTGATGAATGTTAGCCAAACATTTGAGTTATTAGCTTCAGCAATATATCATTCTGAAAAATCTGTGAAAACAAAACCATTTTAGAAGATAGTCACACACACTTTCAAGAAATGGTAGCCCTCCCAGGATCCTTTCAAATAGAGTCTTAATTAAAGCATTTTAGTTCAAATACCTCACACATACTGCATTGCATTATGTGCAAATTTATAGCAAAAGCCTAAAAATGCTGACAACACTAAAGTGGTCAAAAGTAACTTTTTAAGTAGAAAAAAGTAATAAAACTCAAAACTATTTAAATTCCATTGAAAAATGAAATAGTATGCTTCAATAATAAGATTTCAAGTCTTTAGTTAATCAAATACTCTTAATATACTACTTTCATTATTCTTTCACTAATGCTATAAAATAAAATAATTCTGATTCATCTTTTACATAGTACATTGCAGTGATATTTAAGAGTTAAAAATGCTTTTCTCTATTGTTTCTATCTCCTTCAATAATTCTCCAACAATGATGCCAGAGATATTGGTTCCTCTGCTTTTAATATTGGCCTGACACATTCGATCTCTGAATGAAAATTCCTCTGAATGTTCAGAGCAGGAAACACATTGATCTGCAACATGAAATAGAAGCTGTATTGTTTGCCTTCATTTTGCCATATCTGTGAGATACGTGAATGCTATTATTCTCCCCTAAAGTTTTAAAGTTTTTTTTTTAAATTTAGTTTTATTTTATTTTAAAGATAGACACAAACACATACACATGTACACAGGGCTTCCATCTGTGGTTCACTTTCCAAATGCCCACAACAGCCATGGCTAGATCAGGCAAGAGCCAGGAGACTTGAACATAATCTGGGTCTCACACGTGGATGGCAGGGACCCAAGTATTTGATACATAAGCTACTGACTTCCAGTGTGTGCATTAGCAGGAATCTGTAATTAGAAGCAGAGCTGTGATTAAAATCCAAACACAACCATATGGGATGTGGAAGTTCCAAGTAGCCTATTAATCTCCCTGCCTAATTCCCACCCTCCCTAAGTTTTTAAGATAGCAATTTTCCTTTCTTATATAATCCTTGTATTTTTATCTGAATTTTAGTGGTTTTGCTTTTCATTCCATTCTTTTTATTTATTTATTTATTTGACAGGCAGAGTGGACAGTGAGAGAGAGAGAGACAGAGAGAAAGTCTTCCTTTTCCGTCGGTTCACCCCCCAATGGCTGCTGCAGCCGGCATGGTGCGCATCGCGCTGATCCGAAGCCAGGAGCCAGGTGCTTCCTCCTGGTCTCCCATGCGGGTGCAGGGCCCAAGCACTTGGGCCATCCTCCACTGCACTCCCAGGCCACAATGGAGAGCTGGACAAGAAGAGGAGCAACCGGGACAGAATCCGGCGCCCCAACCAGGACTAGAACCTGGGGTGCCAGCGCCTCAGGCGGAGGATTAGCCTAGTGAGCCGCAGTGCTGGCCGCATAAATAACTCTTGACATATTTTTCAACTTACTCTACGAGGCCAGAAGAGCTAACAGCAAAGCGCATTATAAGAATTAATATTAGAGGGGGCTGGTGCTGTGGCTCACTTGGTTAATCCTCTGTCTGTGGCACCAACATCCCATATGGGCACCAGTTCTAGTCCTGGCTGCTCCTCTTCCAGTCCAGTTCTCTGCTGTGGCCCAGGAAGGCAGTGGAGGATGGCCCAAGTGCTTGGGCACCTGCACCTGCATGGGAGACCAGAAAGAAGCACCTGGCTCCTGACTTCGAATCAGTGTAGCTCCAGCCATAGCGGCCATTAGGGGAGTGAACCAATGGAAGGAAGACTTTTTCTTTGTCTCTCCCTCTCACTGTCTAACTCTATCTGTAAAATAAATTAAAAAAATGTAAAAAAAAATTAAAAAAATTATTTTAAAAAAAGAATTAATATTAGAGGTCCATCTTTCAGGGCATGAGTCCAGCTTTAGCCATACAAGTTCTAGTTTCTACCTGGACTAGAACCCCCTGTGCCGGCACCACAGGTGGAGGATTAGCCTATTGAGCCGCAGCGCCAGCCTCATTCCATTCTGTATAAACCATCTTTAAAAACAGACTTATTTTATTTATTTGAAAGGTAGAGTTACAGAAAGTGAGCAAGAGAAACTCCTTTAATGGCTGCAATGTCCAGGACTAGACCAACCCACAGCCAGGACCCAAGAACTTCTTCCAGGTCTCCTACATGGGTGGCAGAGACCCAAACATTTGGGCCATCTTCTGATACTTTCCCAGAATGAAAGAATGCTTGCCTAAGCAATGCAATGAATTTGAAGAAAGAAAATATAGGATAGCCTATGTGGGTAACCTATGTTGAAGTACTAAAGAGTTAATGAATAGCCAACTACCCCCTGATACCTTCCTTGATGACTCCCAACATTTTGCTGTTATGATACAAATGATCTTGGAAAAGAATAGAATTCTTTCCTCTGCCATTATGTGTACTGAGTTCCTCATATTAGTCATTATAAGGGATTAACAAGATCAGGCAACTAAGGAGATGAGCATCTTTGGTTGAGTAGGCCAACATGTAAAAACCAGGCCAAATCCAACCAAGAAATCAAATTTGAGAAGAAAGCAATACTGGCATAGAAAGATATGCTGTCTGTCTTCGCTCTAAAACAGCTCTTTCTCTCCACTACTTTATAGCACTCTCCCGAAAATACAGGGACAGTGGAGTGAGGCTTGAAACAAGAGCAGACTCGTGTTGTGTAGGACGAGCAGAAGGATGATCATAAAGCTAACACCATATTGAAATTCATTCATCTTTGCAAAGGAAGAGTAGTCAGTCTTGGGCCTCCACATCACGTTTCAGACCAGTGAGTTTGTATGATAGTAATTTTTTATTGTTTCTGGTACTTCTTTACAAATGTTTCTTATGAGATCCTTGTGAAAGCTTGTTTTAGTATTGAGAAGAGATGAGTATGGTAAAAGTTTTAAAGTGTGGTCAGTTTAATGTATCATAAGCCTTAGATCATTGCCTGGAAGTTTAAGAGTCATTTTTTCCTCATGTTTTGTTTACGGTCACATACTATATTTTTACTGTTAATCTCAGAGTTATTCATTATCTAAGAAAGATGCTGTCTCAATGATGTCAAGATGCTTTTACCTGGTCAGCTGTTACCTATAGTCCACTCTTTTATTTCTGACCCTTTTTATCTCTATTATGAATCTAAAGTTCCCAGGTAAAATTATATTAATTGTCTGATTTCCATTCTCTTAGTGCAAATTTAACCCTGAACGGTTCCATTTAATAATCCACCAGGGTTCTTCTTAGGCTAAGCAGGAAGGCAGACTAACTCAGACCTTGAAATATCATTCCACACACTGGTTGATGCCCTGATGGACTGAAGAAGTAGTATGCTTCTTCAACACCGAACCTAATACCCAGATATTAAGTCATGTTTTTGGAGAATGCATTTCAAGTTTAAAAATGTCTTGGTGTTGAAACAGAAGAGGAAAAGAAGTTTATGAAAAACAGCATTAAAATGTTTCCTATTAACAAAGTATTTTTTCCAAAGAATATTTGTTGTATACTAGTGACAAATTTATCAATTATAGTCTGCTCTAGGGTTATTTCCACACTTACTGTTAAGAATACTTTTGGCAAACTACAATTGAAAGAAGGAAGCAGACACTGTTAAGTATTCAAAGAGGACAGAGTTAAAGTAACAACAGTTGACTGCCCCTAAAGTCTTCCCTGTTGCACACCAACACTCCAGGTGGTAAGCCTGGTCCTCGCCTCTTTGGAAACAAGTACAGAGCTCCACTGTGAGGCCTTGAACAATGTTGAGAGGATACTTTTTTTTTTTTTCTTGTAAGCAAATTTTAGATGAAGAGAGCATGGAGACATTAATTTTGCAACACCTTCATAAAATAAAATGTCTCTTAGGATTACCACATAAACTAGGTAAAACACATTTTGAATCCATCAGCAGTAAAATTGGTCCATTAATGCAAAGCAACTGATGAAATTAGTTTTTTAAAAAAGGAATCTTTATTAATTGCATAAGCCTAACTGGAGATTAGGAACTATAATCCAGATAATCTCATAGTTCATAAAACTTCCAATATAATAAAGACCTCCACTTTATTATTTTTCCATGGCATTTTATGCACTTGATATATAACCAGAATTATTTATTTCAAGGTTTTACATTTTTTATTCTCTCTATGAGAAGCATCCAACTCATGTTTCACATGGGAAACTTAAAGAGTTGTTACAGTACTACCGTTGTAGGTTGTAGATTATGATTGCAAATTGTAGGTTGTGATTGTAAATTGCTATCTCTCAAATAGGAGTAAGGATGCCAGTAAGAATTTATGTGGGCTGGCGCCGCGGCTCAGTAGGCTAATCCTCCGCCTTGCAGCGCCAGCATACCGGGTTCTAGTCCCGGTCGGGGCGCTGGATTCTGTCCCGGTTGCCCCTCTTCCAGGCCAGCTCTCTGATGTGGCCAGGGAGTGCAGTGGAGGATGGCCCAAGTCCTTGGGCCCTGCACCCCATGGGAGACCAGGAGAAGCACCTGGCTCCTGGCTTCGGATCAGCGCGGTGCGCCGGCCGCAGCGTGCCGGCCGCGGTGGCCATTGGAGGGTGAACCAATGGCAAAAGGAAGACCTTTCTCTCTGTCTCTCTCTCTCACTGTCCACTCTGCCTGTCAAAAAATTAAAAAAAAAAAAAAAAGAATTTATATGTTACTTCTTAAGAAGGTGAAAGGGCGTTGGGGCTATCAAAGGGGAAACCTTATCTTTAGTGACATCTAGTGGACTAGTCCATAATGGCATTTTTTCAAATTGAATCGAGGGCAGATACACTGCTGCCTGAACTGCAGTTTTGTAGCAGATATTATGTTACATTTATGCAAGAATAATTAGCATCTAAAACAAAACATCTTTATGTAAGGAGTAAAGTTACTTGTTTTAAATCACAATGGAAATTACAGAGGGTATAGAAATATATTTAAATAAAAAAGTATTGTGGTCAGAAATTTTACAAGTATGTTGATAGAGTATTTTAGGGGCTGATGTTGTGGGATAGTGAGTTAATATGCTACCTGCAATACTAGCATCTCACGTGGGTGATGGTTTGAGTCCCGGCTACTACACTTTCTGCTGATGTGCATGAGGAAGCAGTGAAGATGCCAAGTACTTAGGCCTTGTACCTGCCTGGGAGACTTAGATGAAACTCCTAGCTCCTGGCTCTTGGCTCTGGCCTGGCCCAGTCCTGGCCACTGCAGCCATCTGGAGAGTGAAACAATGGGTGGAGGTATCTCTCTTTCTCTCTCTCTCTCTCTCTGTAGCTCTGCCTTTAAAATAAATAAATAAATATTTAAAATTTTATTATTGAAACCTTAATGCTTTTAACAATCATTAACAGTTAATTTCCTTCTATTTCATGTAAATTTAAAATATGTATTTTTATCTCAATCTTGGTACATTTACACTGTCGTTTCTTTGGTAAACTAAGAAGTTAGATCATTTTGTCAGAAACATTTATTCTTACTATATATTTTCTTTTGTGATGATTTGGGTCCTAAAGACACATAGCCTTAAGTTAATAGTGTCTTAGAGTAACATTGAAATGTTTTCACACAGCTCCTTGACTGTCTTTCTTAATATTATGTAAATTATTTTAATATTTATGAATTTATCATTGCTTTATTTCTAATTAGCTTCATTGGGCCTTTGTCTGTTGTGGTGTTATTACTGCTTTTCATCTCCTTTTAAATCACAGAATGTCTGTTGGCAAAACATTATTTCATGCTTGACCTTCAATTTGTCTTAATAGTCCTATGTATAATCTTCTATTGTATTGTTTGTATGCTTTCTCTCACCCTGCTCAGAATTATTTGTCTTGTTTGCATTCTTTCTCTAACCCTGCTCAGAAGTTGTCTTTTTCTCATGTTCCTTTTCTGTATTCTAAACTGCCTTTCATTGTTCGTACCACCATAATGCTCTCTTTGTCTTTTTAAACGTTTGCTTCTAATACCAAGCATTCTTAGAAGAGACACAAATTTTGTGATCTCTAATTATTTTCCTTAATAAATTCTTAGTCTCTCTCTATTCAAACATTGTTGATTCATTTGTCATATTCAGTTTTCTACTGTTCCTAGGGCTATTACTGGGTAATCCAAAAATGTAATTTTAATACCTCTCTTTAAGAATATTAATATTCACTTAAGGGAATATCCCTAATTAGCTTCTCACTATTGTTTGAAACTGGAAAGTGTTACTGGTTTTTGCTCAAGTTCTTTTGGAGTTACTGAAGAAAAGCAGCTTGTCTTCCATAACCTCAAATCATTACCTTAACAGATTATCATACATAAAACAACAGGACAGTATATATTCAAGTGGTAAAGTTTGTGTTATTGACACACATGCAACAAATTCACAAAAAATGAAGAGTACTGTGTAACTTACTTGCTGTCATCTGCTATGGGCTGTTTGCATCCTTCTGTATTCCCTTGTTGAAATCCTCACCCTCAACATGTAAGAATTAGGAGAGGTTTGGCTTTGGGGAGGTGATTAGGTCATGAGGATGCAGCATTCACAAATGGGAAAAATGCTTTTAAAAAAGAAGAACCAACAGCAAAAGGAAGACCTTTCTCTCTGTCTCTTTCTCTCACTATCCACTCTGCCTGTTAAAAAAAAAAAAAAAAAAAAAGAAGCTCTAGAGAGTTGCTGGTCTGTTCTACCATGTGTGGATGAAGTTAAGATGTTCCTCCTGTGACCCAGAATGCCCCATCAGACTCTGAATCCACGAGGGTTCTGATCTTAGATGTCCTTCCTTCTGAAACTATGAGAAACACCTCTGCTATTTATAGCCTACCCAGTTCACACTACTTTATTATGAAAGCCTGCATAGATTAAGACATTACTTTAAAACATTTAAAAATAAACTATAGAAATATTTTGTATGATTTCTTTCTTTCTTCCATTTTACCTCTATTTTCTGATAAATGTTTTCTCCAATAAACCCTGCTCAGTGGTGCTAAATTTCATATTTCTTTAAATGAGGTAAAGAATCTTTTAAAAACTTGCATTTTGGATTATTTTAAGTAAAAACAATCAGAAAAGGATATGGAAAAATCTATTGTCTTCATCTCCCCCCCCTTTTAATGCTTGATGTGACTCTTTGTCCTAGACAATAAAAAGTCCTTTAAAATTCCTTGTCCTAGACAATACAAAAGAATAATACAGATTTGAGATTTGTTGATGACTAGCCTCTCAATTTAAAGTTTTGAGTACATTTGCACAGCAGTTGTAGAGAATGTAAGAAATTAGTGAGCTCATGGAGTCCAAGGCAAGTGAGAGATGAACTGGAGAAAAGTAGCAGTGAAGAAGCCACAACAACTTAATGAAATCCACAAGAACACCCAAGAAAGTCAAAGCAAAAATAGGAATGCTCTTAAGATTATGAAAATTTTAGTATGAAAAACTCATGTGGTTAAGTATTAAATATAATTATTGTTTTTAGAAGCATTTTATTAAAATCCAATATACAAAACAAGAAATGCACATAAATGTACAGATCAATGAAGTTTTATTTATTTATTTTTGGTCATCTGATCATACTTACAACCAACATTCAAATTATGAATAAAACTTTACTGGCAACCTAAGAGTCCTCACCTTTCTCCCTCTTCCACATTTTTTTAACATGTGAAATAAAAGTACATTGTCATTTACATTTTATGATTCAGGGTAGCAATATTAATAAGTGCATACCAAATGATCTGTCATCTACACATTTATTCCCTCTCTATATATTAACTACCACAGATATGAGAAACAAATAAAACGTTTTCTTTTTGGGTCTGTC